GCAGAGGGAGTTGTCAAAGAGCTGTTCAGAGGCGTGCTTTCCCAGTTTCTGTTTTTGTTTTGCTTAAACAACTTTTAGGAAGACTGTTTCAGTGACAAGCAAAACGTTCCGACTTTGTTTGGCCCATCCACTTGAGAAGTACTCGCAGGGTAGGTCTTGTTGCTTTGCATTGCCTTCCACTCCTTTTCGGCGGGTTTTGCCTCAGCTTGGCTCGAATTCAACGTCACAGGTGCGTGATATTACTGTTTTGGGTGCGCGCGAGATCTTTTTAAGCAATGTGTGCTTTCCGCCATATCAAGGCTCACATTGCAAGGAGGATTGCGCAGGTTCGTCCAGGGTCCTCCTTGTGTCTAGGCTATTTGACAGACCTCTTGATGATACAGAGTACGGAAAACACTGATCTTCCGTGGAAGGCACAATGAATGCTTCTGGCATCACCATACTAAGAGCCTCACTTCCGCAGTTGTTGGACTTTCGAGGTTTTGGTGCTGTGGCTAGTCTCCTGGAAGCAGTGAGGAACAGCTCCCTTCCCCAGAGGACCTGCCTAGATAGCCAAGCTCCTGCTTTCTTCGGTCACTGTTGCTGGTTTCTGTTACAAAATGGATGGAAACAGGCGATCGCAACTGGCGATCCAGGTTAAGGTTGTTGACAAAAAGCAGCGGGCGGCGCCATGGACCCTTTGTGCCCTGGCGTGGCGCTCCGCGCCTTTGCAGCTTCCAGGCTGAATAGCATGGAGGTTCCACCCCCCCCCCCTCCCCACAGAAAAAGAGAAAAAGGGGCAATAAGAGTGAGTTGTTATCTTTGGCTTTCCTTTAAACCAACCCAAAGAGTTTTGGTAGCTACCCTCAAGAGCACCAGTCTTCGGTGTGGCCATTGGGTTCTTTCGCGGTGATCCCCATGCATCCCTCCCGGGTGCTACACCGAACCCAGGCTCAGTCGACCGAAGCTTTCGCTCCGCGATCCAAGGTTGTGCACCTGGCCGTTCTGCTGAACAGCCCTGCCAAGGGCCCAGTGGCCTCAGTGAACCGGTCACTCAGCGTGGTTCCCTTTGTTTGATTCCCCCTCAAGGGGTGGGTGTATTTTGTCTATTGTTATTATATACTTTTTAACGGGCTGGGTTGATCGTTCGATTTGTTCGGGTACCACAGGAACTGCGCACGCCGTCCCGTGGAGACCACAACAAGTCCGGCTATCCCTAGATTTCCCGGAAAGGGGGTTTCAAGCATCACCTTTTGGACCACTCTAAAGTGACCTTCTTTGGGGGATGTTAAAAGGGGAAGTCTAGGGAGCCCCCTGTCACTCACGGAAGTTGGCAATCTGCTCGAGGATTCGCGGCAGCCCTTGCTGGATTGCCTTCAGCAAGGGCTGATAGGCTCGCTTCCTTCGAACTTTTTCGGATTTCTCGGTCGGTGCCACAAACATTTCCTCTGTTTGTTTGGAGAAATCAATCCCAAGGTGTGTCAAAGTATCAACTTACAAACCCAACTGCAGTTTATTTTAAGAATAAAACACCACAGTTTGTGTTGTTTACTTTTAAAGCAACACGAATTTGATGACCTGGTTCATGACAAGTGCTCGCAGGTTCTTTGCAAGCGCTGAGTGGCGTCTATGAAGGGGACCTGGTCCAGCGCAGCGCCTTCTTTCAGCGGACCACCGCCTTCTGGAGCCTGACCTATGGGCCGGGCCGCCGAATCGGAGGGCCGAATCGGAGTCGGAGGCGTTGCAAAGTCCGAAGATCGGGAAGCGTGCGGCGTCGTTTCTTTTTCGGGCCGCATGGTGCCTTGTGCCTACAACACATGCACACAGAGTTCTCACGGATTGTGGGAGGATGTGGGAGGTTATGGGAGGTTATGGGAGGTTATGGGAGGTTATGGGAGGTTATGGGAGGTTATGGGAGGTTATGGGAGGTTATGGGAGGTTATGGGAGGGTCGCAGATTTGCCTCAGAAAAGCCATGGCGCCATTCCGAGCCCCGGATCAAGGAACCTTGCAGATGAATTACTAGGGGGCTGTTTCCGCGTGGCTTTCCTCTATGGGCCACGGGCCAAGTCACGAGGCTCGCCAACGAGGTCCCGATTTACCGCCCGAGGCTCCTGGTGGTGATCTTGGGAGCTTTGCTGTCGGAGTACCGAAGGCCAGCAATGCAGTGACCAGACATGGCTGTGGGTCAACACCAATGGTACCATCTTGGGGTAGGTGCACCACCCATTTTATTCTTTTTTAGTTGGGATTGGGATGTGCACTGAGGGTACGGGATTTTGACCCTTGGCCGCATGTTTTTGTTCCCAATTCCACCTTTCAAGTGCCCAGCCAGTGTACTGGCTGTGAAGCGATGAGCTTTGCTGTTCAAGCTCGATGCTAGGTCGACCAAGCACGAAGCTCCAACCAGTGTTGCTGCAGGCGGGGGAGTTTAAATAGTCCCACGATAGGCGCGCATGGGTTCACTCGTTTCGCCTGAAGCTCAAAATCAACACCTGGCTTTACTTGATGCTTCAGTCCCCAGCAAGTGAGCACGTCCAACTGGTTAACTGTTCGCTTTGCTTTTCTTTAGCAACCTGTTATGCTTCAACCCCCCAAGTGAGCATGTCCAACTGGTGAGTTTTCCTTTGGTTCTTCTAGCAACCGAATTTCTGGCTGGTCTTTTAGCAACCCTTTTTGTTCCATTTGGGTGTAGCTCAAAATTCAAGAGCCAGGGCAAACCGCAGGTTTCAGTCTTTGGTTTCATTTACCAAGGGCCATGTGACAATGTGGGCACATTTATTGCCATTTGGTTTTCCTTTTGAGCTTTACCCTTTTTTGGGGGAGGGTTCCCCTCAAAAAAGTAGACGACTGAAAAAAGGATACCCTTATTCTAAACTCTCTACTGGAGGACTGAGTTTTGGTTTTCCTTTGGTCCAACCAATCCTGGCTCCAGCGTGCCTTCTTGGAAGAACCAACCTGTGCAAGCCCCAAGCCTCGGCATTCCTCGCCGATCGGCGGTCCAAACTCCTCACTGCCCAGGTAAACATGGACCCCCCACACGTTTTTGTGTTTAATGCTTTTTTTTCAGTTTTTCCGGGGGGCGGGGGGGAATCGCGTCTCCTTATTTTTTGGTGTGTCCCGGACTTTTTGTTGAGTTCCTGGCTAAATTTAAATTGCAGATTCCTCAACCTGGCGATCCCCAAAATGGCAAGGGGGCCTTTTGCTTTCCCGCGTAAATATCAGCTCTTCTAGAAATTGATTCCCCATTCGTTTCAACCATCGCTCCTTTCAAAAAGACGCCGATTTCCCCGGGTTTCCGGAGGTTGTCTAGAAAGATTCGGATCCTTTTCAGAAAAAAAGCGCCGATTTCCCCGGGTTTCCGGAGGTTTTCCAGAAAGATTCGGATCCCTGGAAAGAATGCAAATGGGGAAGGCACCACAGGAGCTCTGAGAGAGGGTCCACTGTGAGGGGCCCCCCGCAGCTGGGCGAAATTCGTGCAGATTCCTTCCCTAGAATTCTTTGTTTGGTGGTTTTAGATATCGCCTTGGGCCAATTTAAACGGACCTTCCTTTTTGGTGGGGTGATTAAATGGGGAAGTATAGGGAGCCCTGTTCCTTCCAGCCGCAGGCTGGTGCCTTCTGTGCCTCCTGGGGGCGGCCATGATGCCCTGCAGCGGCTCGGCCGTTGCGCTTGATTCAAGTCCAGTTGGGCTAGTTGGAGTGGGCCCCCCCCCCCAAATTTAGGGGAACACACGTAGAAAAAGACGCATATGCTATGTATGTGTATAATAAACCCAAATTTAGGGGAACAAGGTGGTTTTTGTTCTTTTCTTCTTTTTTTCCGCAAAAATACATATATACTACATATGTGACGAAATAAATATGGCCAACATAGTAGGATAATATTTTATGAGTACCCTCACACAAACACAAGTCCATTTGTCTACTGTTTCGTAAGGTTGGCTTGGGGAGGACGAGAGGAGGGCACAACCCACGTACCTGGCTCCATTTTCCCATCCCTCGGCTGCCATCCTTGGTATGGTTTGGGGGGGCGGGGCTATCTGTCACGTAGAAGGGGGGGCTTTCGCAGACCTCTGGCTCACTAGCCTGAGAATCGAACCAAGGAAGGGTTGCCTTTTTCTAGCCGGGCCTCTGAACATCAGGGCTGTGTTCATCTCTGTTGCCCAGCGGTGCCCTTTTTTCCCTCTTTTTTGGGTGAGGGTTCTCCTTTTAACTCAACCAACTAAAAAAGGAGCCTTTTTTGCCCATGGCCACTTGGCATCTGAGTCATGGTGGTTGCTCCGTCGCTTTATTGCATTCAACCGGCCAGCAGCATCCTGATTACTCCTGTCACTTGTGGCTCCACCACACCGAAGGGAGCGAGCCACGGACATCATAACACTTACCCAAATTTCGCTTGGCGCAGAACGTGCTGCCTTTAACCTCGGTTGGCCAAATGGCGCGACAGGTGTCGCGTGGATGGGCCTCATCATTGGCTTGCCGGGACCTTGGGCCTCGGTCAGTGCAGGTAGGCCTCCTGTGGCGATGATTCAATGGAAATGTTTAGCGGGAATCCCGTCGCCAACCGCCTGTCGACGGAACGAACCTTTAAACGGTTGACTTGGAAGTGCACTTCGGGCCATTGGACGAGAACAGCAGAGTGGGCGATTGAAACACACATTCCCACCCAAGTACCGGCCCACAGGACCAAGGGGAAGCTCCGAAGGCGCAATTTCTGTTTGATGCATGCCATGTCAGCATATGTCAGCTGGGTTCGAGCACGTCACTTGCAAGGTGGATGCTGCACTTGTCGCTGCTGCATGAGCCGGCAGGCGGGTGATGCGGAAATGTTTGTTGCATACTTCCCAGCCGTCCACTGGAACGTTGGTAGTAGCATTGCTAGGTCCCCCAGCGGTGCCCGTTTACCCATTTTTGGGGGAGGGTTCCCCTACTAAATCGACTACAGAAAACAGGGCACCCTTATTCTAACCTCTCTACTGGAGGACTGAGTTTTGTTTCAGCTGACGCCATGTGTGGTTTT